AACCCTAAACCCTAAACCTCCAATCCCTTATGCTGCTGCAGAGGCCGAGAAAGCAAACAAGCTCCGGCCGGTCAACAAGAAGGACAAAAACCGAAGCTCGTTCTGCAAAGAGCATTGCACCCATAAAGCCTTGAAGCCTCCAAAACGGTTAAGGTTTAGGGTTTAGGGTTTAGGGTTTAGGGTTTAGGGCAAAACCCTAAACCCTAAACCCCAAACCGCCCTCTGGAACTTTCCGCGCAGCAGCCTTCGGGGACCCGGGTTAAAGGACACCCTAAACCCTAAACTCCTGAACCTCTGAATCCTTAAGCCTTAAACCCGAAACCCTAAACCCTAAACCCGAAATCCTAAACCCTAAACCCTAAACCCGAAATCCTAAACCCTAAACCCTAAACCCTAAACCCCAAAACCCCTAAACCCAAAGACGGCTCCCCAAGGCAAGTTTGAGCCCTGGCCGGGAGAGTTTACGCGCTACAAGACCACGGAGGGCTTCAGCACTTTTGCCAAGGACCGACACGATGAGGGGGTTCAGGGGTTTAGGGCTTTGGGTTCAGGGTTTTAGGGTTTAGGGTTTAGGGTTTTAGGGTTTTAGGGTTTAGGGTTTTAGGGTTTAGGTTGAGGTTTTGGGTTTAGGGGTTTAGGGGTTTAGGGGCTTTTGGGTTTTTGTTTGCTGCCCTAAACCCTAAACCCTAAACCCTAAACCCTAAGTCTTGTGTCCTAAACTTTTCGCTCGTTGAAGTCCTCATCCTTCAAAAGCACCGGTCCCAAAGCCGTAGTGCGCTACCCACAGGTTTAGGGTTTAGGGTTTAAGGTTTACGATCCAATACGCCACAAAACTATAATGTATCGTACTGTACCATAGAGTACTATACGACAACAGATCCCGAAGACCAACACCACCTAGGCTCTATGCACTAAAGCTAAAGCCGCGAAAACCTACGAAACCCTGCAAGGGCAAAAACCCTAAACTCTAAACCCCAAACTAGACACCCTAAAGTCTAAATGCTAAACTCTAACCCCAAGCCCTAAACTCTAAACCCCAAACTCGAAACCCCAAACTCTAAATCGTAAACTCTAAACCCCAAACCTTAAACTCCAAACCCCAAACTCGAAACCTTCAAGTCTAAATCCTAAACTCTATACCCCAAACTCGAAACCCTAAAGTCTAAATCTTAAACTCTAAACCCTAAACCCTAAACTCCAAACTCGACACCCTAAAGTCTAATAAATCCTAAACTGAAAACCCTAGACTCTAAACCCCAAACTCCAAACCCCAAGCTCTGGATCCTGAGCTCTAAACCCTAAACCCTAAACCAAAGGCCTTTGTTTCTTGGGTTGCGGGAGCTTGGATCCCAGGGCTTTCAGACAAAACCTTCAGGATTCGGGGTGACTTTCAGTTGCTTCTAATTTTAAGGGTTTAGGGTTTAGGGTTTAGGGGTTTACGATTTAGGGGTTTAGGGGTTTAGGGTTTAGGGGTTTAGGGGTTTAGGGATTAGGGGTTTAGGGTTTAAGGGTTTAGGGATCAGGGTTCAGGGGTTTAGGGGTTCAGGGTTTTAGGGGTTAAGGGGTTTAGGGTTTAGGGGTTTAGGGTTTAGGGGTTTGGGGTTTAAGGGTTTAGGCTGCTTCGAGAGGACTCGAAGTATGGGAAGCTGGTGACGACGCTGAAGTGCCCTGGCCCCTGAAAGGACCCAGAACCCTCAACCCTAAACTCCAAACCACTACACCAACAAAGGCCAAACCGTGAATGTGCTTAAACCTTCTCACAAGGTTCTAGAATTCGAAGGGTTCAGGGTGTGGGTTGCTCCTCCTACCTCTACCTCGACCTGTACTTCTGCTTCTACCTCTACATCTACCTATTCCTTATTAGTAGTAACGACGCTAGCACGAATATCAACAAGAAGACTCGTAATCATCATCACCACCAAGGTAAGGGTACTTGCCATATGAGCAACGCAGAAACCTGCAAGCCCTATTCGCCTAAACCCAAGCCCTATCCGGTGGCAGGGGCTTCAGGTGGGTCAGGCTGTGTCAGTCGAAGTCATACCGGGCTCCGCCAAACGGGCTCTTCCGATTCCGGAATTACAGATGTCGACCAGGCAGAAGTAAAAGGGCCTGACACCCTAAACCCTAAACCCCATAAACCCTAAACCCTAAACCCTAAACCCTAAACCCCATAAACCCTAAACCCTAAACCCTAAACCCCTTATAAACGCCAACGTCCCGGAAGAGGCCCGGGGCTGTCGTCGGCGAGCTCGGGCTGCGGAATAACGAACCGCGGGCTGCGACGATTCGGTGCGCGGAGACTCCCAGCTGCTGTCAGAATCTCTGTTTGTCGTGGGCTTAGGCCTATGTTTTCCAACGGTTCCTAAGAAATCCGTTTCAGAGTCGGAGGGGGGAGGGGTTGCAGGGGCATTGTAGGATCTCCGGCTCTGCCATCCCGTTCATGACCATAAACCCTAAACCTGAACCCTAAACCTGCTCCGATTTCAACCAGCCGACTCAAAGCCAAAGGTCTTACGCCTGAAGCCCTAAACCCGAAGCCGAACATCTTAAACCCCAAAGCCCTCAACCCCGAAGCCCCTGAACCCCTAAACCCCTAAAGCCCCCCAAAACCCCTAAAGCCCTAAAGCCCCCAAAACCCGAAACACCCAAAAACCCCTATACCCCTAAACCCTACAACCCTAAGCTCGTAGATCCCTTTGAAGGGAAACCCTTCCTGGAACCCTAAACCCTAAACCCTAAACCCTGAACCCTAAACCCTAAACCCTAAACCCTAAACCCTAAACCCTAAACCCTAAACCCTAAACCCTAAACCCTCCCCCTGCAAAGGCGCCCGAAAAAAACCCGAGGAGACTTGGCCTTCCAACTGGCGCTCTGAGCCCAGAAACCCTCAAACCCTGAAGCCCTAAACCCTAAAGCCCTAAACCCTAAACCCCTAAACCCTAAACCCTAAATCCCTGAATCCCTAAACCCTAAATCCCTAAACCCCTAAACCCTCAAACCCTGAGCCCAGGAATTGCAAGTTCCTGGTGGTGGGGAAGAACATCTTCTTGGAGGTTCTGAAGGATCTGGGATTTGGGGGGTTT